TTTCAATGACTTCGGTACACCACTCGGTTTCCACAAAAACTTTCCCCGTGAACGGGGCTTGATCAGAGTTCAAGACTAGTGAGAAGAAATGATTGGCCACGATCAGATCAATGATCATGATTAGATCATGACAATATTCGACGATTCGATTTGATTCCAATGTCCATCGTTGAATGTTTTTGTGCGCTGTTCTCTCTACAGTCTCCATCGAATGCTTGTTGTTGTGTTGGTTGCGTTGCAATCAGTTCGTTAGCGTTCATGATTCGATATCTTTGAGATAAGCGTGAAACAGTACTATCGGAGTAAATTAATTTGTAAGTGATCAGTATGATTCTAAACTTGTGAATTGAATTTCACAGTTTCAGTCGTCCAAATACTCGTTAACGAAATGAAGTTTCAGGATCGCAGCAAAGAAACATAAGGAAATCATCAAACGAAGACTTCGAGTGATCAACGAACTCAGTAGCCTCAATAAAGGAGCAATAATTTGTGGAGAGCAGTGATATTCTTGCTGAGAGTTTCCAGTAAAGAAAAATATTCGAACCGTGAAACGTTTCGGAAAAGAATAGGATCGATCGAAGATCCCAATGGATATTTTCGATACATTAACGGAGCTTGATAAATCAATCCTTCGGAAGTCATGGCAGTTGATTTTGAAGTTCGTTTTCTTAATGAATTATGAGCTTTTTGTTGTTTAACGCTTTCAATTCTTTAATATTTCTTTCAATTCTTACCAAGTTTCTTACTTTTATTCACACTATTATTAGCTTAAGTCTGGGAGGATTTTTACGGAATTCTCAGTGTTTTCCTCAAACTTTCTCTTACATAAGGAATACTTACGATAAGGAATACTTCTGATTTTGCAAATTGCATTGGTTGTTTGTGTGGGCTTTAGATTGAAGTCTACTAAATTATGGCTAAAATTACGAATTTCGAAATTTTAAGCACATTTCAGGAACCTGGATAGTGTATCAGTGGCCATATTTCGGATGATATTCGAGCAAAGTCCAGATGCTCGATTGATGTTTACCTTTATGAAATATGACCCGTCAAGCAATACGGTCTCGAATGATTTCAAATTTCATTCGTTAAGGTTTACACAGGTACACTGCTGTGTTCTCATCTGCAACAGATCCTCAAGAAACCATCGAAAAATTTACATCAGAGGAATATGAGACCCTTCGTAATCCGTGGATATTCGCAACTTATTAACAATTCATGCGTTTATTTCTGTGATAAATCACTTATCAGAACCATGAAATATTTCTGCCATCGGTTGATTTGCCTTTGTTTTGCAGGCTATCGACAGTGTTATGTTGCATTTGGACAATCCACATGGATTAAATGAACTATTCGATAATCTTGGTAAAATCCATGCTAGGCTTCAAGAGCAACGTGGATTTAGGTGAGATTCATAAGACTGCATGGAATATCTTTGTGATTGCCTCGGATCAGTCTATTATTTCTTGAGAATTAATCAGACCACTTGAGGCATTCTAAAAAAATGTTATAGAGTTTTGACTGTATTCTCCTCAGGTGTAGGCTTCTTTGGTGAGGGTAATAAAGCAGATGCTTACATTAATAGGTCTTCCATTCATGCGAAAATTATAGACTATTTATCAGACAAATTACAGACTATGCGACAAATTATAAGCTATTATCAGTTTTCGAAGCGATCTTGTGCCTCATACCTAAATAAATGTTATCATCTAAAATTATATGCATGTATTTCTGAATAAGAATAATATTCGTAAAGAAACATATACCCTGAAGAAGGCTTCATTTACAATGAGAATGTAATTTATCTGAATGTAACAGGATGTAATTTATCTGAATCGCAACTAATGAGATGTTCGATGACTTACTTGCAAATTGGCCGGGCGATAGTGAATAGAGGGAGTCAGTGATAATCAGTGATTGTTGTGTGGTACCCCTAGAGTTGCTTAATGAATATGGAATTAATAAAGACGGAAGTGAACTAAGTCTTCAACGGGTAGCCATGACAATTTGTCGAAATAAAGACTGATTAATTGATCACTGCTTACAAATGAATGAAGTAATTAAGATTTTTTTCATTTCTTCGAAACTTCATAAATTTTTCATGTTTACTTCGGATTTTTAGTGTAGTTTCAATTGGTGTTAGTCAGCAATCATGTCATTTCATATCGTGTTACATTCTCGGCAAATGTTCCAATTTCAGGCCTCATTACTGGAGTGTTTTCAAGGAATGTGCGTTGTGTCAATTCAGAAAGGAATTGAATCGTAAATATGGTCTCTTTAGGAGGTGTCAATTATACATGATCATATTCTCCCGCTCTTTTATCCTTTTATATCGTTTCCGCGGCTTTTCATCTTGTTTTTATGAGCTTTCCAATAGATTGTTATCTCCGTTGGGTCTGTTTTCGTGTTTCGATACGAGAAATTACCTTTCGATACCAAACTGAATTGTTGCTGTTTTGCGTTTTGCCTATGATATTATAAAT